TGGCGTGTGCGGGAGCACACAGCCATTATATCCAGTGGGACTTGGATATTTGCGATTTTTCCAATTCATAGGGGTGTGTGTGTCTGTAACGGATCCCTCATGAATCAGAAGGGACTATTGTATCTTGGCATTTCAGGATCTTGTCTAGTTTCTTCATAGCTGCTCTTTCAAGTCCTAGTCTTCTTCTGATTTGACTGTAGTCCCCTTTCTGATTAATGTCAGAATCAAAGTATGGGAAGTCTTGAACTATTCAATGTTGATCTGTAGTCATTTTTTTTTTGTTTTTTTAAAGTTCAACTGTAAACATGCCTTTGCACTTTCTTCCTTGACTTTCTTCAATAATCGTTCCAAGTCTCTGCTGTTTTCTGCTAGTACTATTGTGTCATCTGCATATCTTAAATTCTTTATATTCCTTCCTCCATTTTTCATATCCTCTTCCTCCGAGTCTAATCCTGTTTTACATAGGATATGTTCAGCATACAAATTAAACAAGTAGGGTGATAAAAGGCTAAACTAGCAGTTCGTAAGCATGCAAATGCAAGTAGATAAATAGGTACCACTTCAGTGGGAAGGTAAACAGTGCTCTTTGCAGACATTCTGGCCACATGATCACAGAGTAGTCTCTGATAACGCTGGCTCTTTGGCTTAGTAACAGAGATGAGCACCGCCCCCTGTGGTTGGACATGACTTGACAACCTTGTCAATGGGGAATACCTTTACCTTTACCTACACTTTAAGTTACAACCTAAAAGAAAGTCTACATAAATATTTAATAGATGGTAGTTGACACCGCTTAGATTGGCAAAAATGGTTAAAGGAACCAGCAATAAATGCTTGGAACAAATTGGTTCGTTCCACCATATGTGATGTAGCTGTAGAGTAGCAAAAAAATACTGGCAAGAAATTCATAGTTCAGTTAGAAAGATACTTAATTGCAAAATAAATATGGACCCTAAATTTTATTTATTAAATATGGTGAATAATGAGACATTAGAAAATAAATATGGGAAACTTTTATTTTATTTGAGTGTAATAGCTTGGATTGTATATGCACATAAATAGAAAGGCAGAGAATATCCTGATATACAGTTGCCCCTCTGTTTTAGCAGGGGATTCGTTCTGGACCACATTGCAAAAACGAAAAACCACAAATAATCAAGCCCTTTGGGTTGAATGACTGTGCATTCCTGCGCGCATGTGCGATTTTATCCTTCCCTGCCTGCCAGTCTACAAAGGACTGAGACCGTAGACCCATTTCAAACTGGCTTCAGGACAGGCTTTGGTGTTGAGACTGTCATGGTTGCCTTGACCGACGATCTGCGTCTGAGCATCGACAGGGTTAGTGTGATCCTGTTGGTGCTCTTAGACTTCTCAGCAGCTTTTGACATGATAGATCATGGCATCCTCTTGGACCGCCTGAGGGGTTTGGGCATCGGAGGCACTGCATTGCAGTGGTTCCGGTCCTTCCTCTCAGGCAGGTCCCAGAGGGTACTGTTTGGGGACAGTTGCTCGACTAAAAGAGAGCTCACCTGTGGTGTTCCACAAGGTACTATTCTGTCCCCGATGTTATTTAACATCTATATGAAGCCGCTGGGTGAGATTATATGGAGCTGGGTGTTATCAGTATGCTGATGACACCCAGATCTATTTCTCCATGTCTCGTTTGTCGGCCTCGAGTTCCGATAGTGTCTCTTCTCTCAGTGAATGACTTTGGGCAGTAATGGGCTGGATGAGGAAAAACAGATTGAAGCTAAATCCGGACAAGACGGAGGTGCTCACGGTAGCAGCTCCGAAACCAAGAAACCTTTACTAGCCTCCATCTGTCTCTCTGGAGACAGATGGAGGCCGGGAAAGGCGCAGGGAGATAGGTCCCACCCTGAAAGTCCCGCTCCCAGCACCAGCTAATACTCGGTGCCAGAAGAACCTTTAGTTGGGGCACTCAGCCCTGAAAAGGTTTGCCATCACTGCTATAATCGATGGAGCACAAGATGGATTTCTTTTGAAATTCTTTACTCCATGTGCTCCATTATCCAACTAAAATTTGTAATATGATACCGAGTGCCTCTTCTTTTCCTGAACCCAGCTTGGATATCTGGGATTTCTTGCTCCATATATGATAGAAGTCTTGTTGTAGAATTTTGAGCATCACTTTGCTTGCATGGGAAATTAATGC